TTATGGGGTCATTTAAAGTCTGTTGTATTTACCCCTCAACCTCAAAATTTAGAAGAACTTCGTCAGAGAATTACTGCAGCTTGCCGTGGAATTCAAAGGGAAGTTTTTGAAAATGTGCGCCGTAGTTTTGAACAACGGTTGTACCATTGTTTAGCTAATAACGGACAACACTTTGAACAATTATTAAGTTGATTTTCTCTGCAAAAAGTTTTTGTACATAATTAAATAACTGAAAATAAAATAGAACGTTTCAAGCAGTTAAAAGTTGTTTAAGTAATAACCAAATAAACCTAAAAGAAAAGAAAAATGAAACAGAAATCGTTTTTTCTAAATATCTCTGACAGACGCCAGGCAAGCTAGCCAACGTAGGTATATCATTGTCAAAATAACCTAAATATCAAAGATTTCGGATTGCTCCGAAATAATAAAGGTTTAATGGTCGTTGTAAAAACGAACATGGTAATTTAATTTTATAAATTAATAATAAAAGATTACTTATTCTTGCTTTTAAGAAGGTGATTAAAGTTTTTAATATTAATTAAAGCGGGAAATACAAAACAAAGATTTTCGCAAAAATTTCGAAAACGAATCGATCAATTTAAAAAAAATAAATACTAACATGTAGTACCTTAAAAGACCTTTAAAATGAGGTATCACTTGACACCCCTTTCCATTTAAGATTTTTAAGGGGTTGGTTTCTGGCGGCGGGGGGTTGAAGTGAGTGAGTCAATTTTTGCATAAAAAGTTGTCCCCCTTGGTTTTATTCTTTACCTATTTCAGCGATTTTCTTTTTAAACTTCCGGATTTACAGAAATTGAGGTGGAAAGTTTTGAAATGAACACCCTGTATAAACACAAGACCAGGAGATTCCATCAGTCAGGCAAGCAGGATACCGAATGAGCAGACATAACGTTAACATAATATGCTACGCGGACGACATGGTACTGATAGCGAACAACGAGGATCGTTGCAAACGTAATAAGTTAAGAACCAATCCGATATAAGATACAAATAGACGATGCAATAATAGGACATGTGATGCGGTTAAAATTTGGGTATTATGATAACGAATAACCAGAATATCGTCGAAGAAACAAGAAGCCAAACTATGAGAGCAGGACAAATGGTAGGGTGCTTGAAAGACACACTCTGGACAAATAAGTATATGAGAACAGAAGCTAAGGTAAACATACATATAAAGCTCTGGAAATACCGGTACTAACGTACGATATCGAAACTAAAACAGAAACGAAAAGAACAAAGCCTAGATGTGATATTGAGAAATAGAGGTCCCAGTAAATCAATCAGGAAAAATCAAAAGAGATGGGCAAAAGGTTGTTTATCCTTGTCTACAGCTTGGCAAATCTATTTTCTATTTCTCTGTTACGTTTCACGGAGTGCGTATCGTATACAGTGCCCAACAAAAGTATTCGTAAATATATTTCACATGGAACATTGAGACAGAAAAGATCTTCCCTGATAAAGCCGAGGTCACTTACGACCGAGGCGCCACAATATGATTACCAGTTTCAGGTTAATATAATCGTAATCACGGAGCCTCGGTGACTTTAGCTTAATTATTTAAAAGGTGATTTAGAAAATGATGAGCAGTTGTAGGTTAGTATAATACACTGTTGGAAATAATTCACGAGCACACCCTGTATAATCTGAACGAGTGTGTCTAGTGCAATAAAATTTGGTATGGAAGTAGTACTAAAGTAGTGTAACTTACTCTTACATGGAGAGCGGCACAACTCTGCTGGGAGGAGAAACATCAATAGCGAGAGTATCCCCCGTGAGCTTCGCGTACCATCGCTACACGACGTGGCATGGAGTCTATAAGTCGCTGTATTGTAGCGAGAGGGATGGCCAACCATGCCACCTCAACTCGCCTCCATAGCTCCTCAACGTTAGCCGAGGAAGCCGGATAACGTAGAAGTCTCCGACCAGTCATGTCCCAAACATGTTCGATCGGATTCAGATGCGGAAACCGAGCTAGCCATGGAAGCATTCGTATACGGTGCTCTTCCACAAAGGTCTGTACAACACGCCCGATGTGCTGTCGTACGTTGTCGTGCATGTATAGCAGACCTGGGAGCCGCCGAACGTAGGGAAGCACAACGGACCGTAGCACCTCATCTACGTATCGTTGACCCGTCATGGTCTGCTATACACGCAGCAGACGTGTACGTCCACCATGTGTAATAGCACCCCATACCATAATGCTCGGTTGTCGGTGGATAGGGCATTCTTGCACGCACTGCTCGAGTAGACGATCACCACGTCTCCGACGAACTAAAATTCGCGCATCACCGGTGCTCAATTCGAATCTTGATTCGTCGGAAAACAAAATGTCCCTCTACTCGGCAACCCTCTAATGCCTAGCGTTGACCCACTCGTGACGTATGCTGCGGTGCTCGGATGTTATTGGAATCCGCTGTTTCGCACGACGCACGCGCTGTGCACTATCTACCAAACGCCGCCGTACAGTTCGCGTAGTGAGTGTGCCTTCCCCTGCCGGTGGCCAAACAGCTCCAAGTTGCCTTGAGGAGGATTCACACGACGCTAAAGCGCTGAGCACAAGAGCGCGATCCTCGTGTGCTGGGGTCACGCAGGGCCCTCCCGGCCGCGGCTGAAGGTACCTATGTCCTACCTCAGACCATTCTTGCCATGCCCGTTGCACTGCCGATAACGACCGGTCGAGACGACGCGCAATTTCACGGAACGATACACCCTCAATGTGCATACCCTCAAACATTCCTCGCTTAAGTAACGCGATCGCCCATCCATTGCGCACAGAGTACGATAACAATGTGGTTCCTCACACCACACTAAAAACGACCGGTATTTTCCATCCATTTCGGTCTCCATAGCGACGGAATGTTCCACTTGGAAGGGCGGCTCAGTCAACAATGCCGCGATGGAACAACTCGAAACTCGATAAATAAACTCGTCTACAGTAAACCTTTGTGCTCCGCAAATATCATGGATTTATCTTCACGCGTTCAGATTATATAGGGTGTGCTCGTGAATTATGTCCAACAGTGTATGTATATTAATCATTATACCTCGGCCAACAAAATATATACAAAACATTTACAACTTCACCTGATATTTATTTCTGAGAAAAGCTGTACTATTAAAACGATCGTCGATATCACGAGTTCGACTATCTCATTTCAACAATTTACTATCCCGAGATAGGTTTGCTAAGCTGTACAGAATGAAAAGAGGCAAGACAAAAGGTAATAGAAATCGAACGAAGAAGTTTAGTTATTTACATTGTAGATCAAAATTGTGTATAAAATTATATACCAACCTGAGGTACACGGCTTCTAACATATTGAGACGGATTTTGTAATTGTTGATGGAGAATTTTTTCTTCCGATCGTCTAACAGTTTCAGAAAGCTTGGTATTTTAGCTTCTTCTTCTGTTAATGTACTGAAGTCCATCATATATTTGTTTGAGTTTATTTGAATTTCTGGTTTTATATTTGCTTCTATATATTTTCTAATGAACGTTTCAATTTCTTTTCTTTGTTCCTTAACTGTGTAGAACAGTTGTATTTGATAACTAACTTTTAATTTTTGCTTTAATAACGCTGGAGTGCCATAGCATTGTAATGAACCGTCTACAAGAATGGCAACACGATCAGCTAGTACTTCTGCCTCTATCATTAAATGAGTGGTGAGTATAATAATGCTGTCTTTTTTATATTTCAAAATTATATCCCAAATCTCTGCTCGACCATTTGAATCGATAGATGCTGTTGGCTCATCTAATATTATAAATTTGGGTTTTCCCAGAATAGCTATTCCAATGGATAATTTACGTTTCGTTCCACTTGATAAATCCAAAACGTTTGCTTTTCGTTTATCATAAAGATTTAGCTCTTTTAAAAGCACCTCTACATTATTTTTTATTTCTTTGTCAGGCAAACCTTTTAACTAAAGTAATATATTATTTTTTTGTATAATTTATGATGTTATTAAGTTTCATTTTTACCTTTCCGAAAAATTCAAGATGTTCTTCAACGGATAACTCGGGAAATAACATATCTTCTTGTGGGCAAACTGATATAAGGTGCCTGTCTTGTAAATTAATATTCTCCATTGATTTCATTGTCACTTTTCCACTCGTTTGCGTCTCTAGTCCTGTCAGTATCGATAGTATTGTAGATTTTCCCGCCCCGTTATTACCGAGAATAACAGTCAAATTATCCTTATAAATCTGCATGTTTAATCTGTTGAGAGCAACTATATCGCCATATGTTTTTGTTATGTCTTTTATCTCCAGCACAACTTCATGACCCTTTTCATGAGAAACTATTGGTTCTAATTCCATATTGATCAAATTATCTTGATTATTCCGACTTCGGAATAAATTTATACAGTTTGAAAGAAAAGTAGAGATTTTATATTTTCCTTGATGATCGCTATCGAAACATATAGTAATTGTTAAATAAAGTATGCCATCTACCAACAACATTATAAAAGTCATTTGCATTGTCATATCATCGGAACTTGCTCGGGGGTATTCAGTAAATCCAACGGGTGATCCTCTAATTTCCGCCACAGATATCACTTGAAATCCATTATATAAACCGATTGTGGGTATTAAAGAGGCTAACAATTTTAATTTAAGAGGCATGATATCCACATTCCCGACTATACTGGAGTAAACAAAATAAACAAGGAACCAAATTGATATACCGGTAATCATTGCTAAAATTGCTGCAGACAAACAAAGACAATAAATCAATGAAGAGATGCAATAAAAACAAATTAAATTACCATCTTTGAAAAAGATGCTCAAAGCAAATATAAAATTAATGGTAGCCGCGCAGTATAAGAATATCAATAAAGAAAGTTGAAGAAATGATACGTATTGAAGTGGAGCGTATTCAGCAGTAAAAAGACGTTTCGTTAATAAAATCGATATTATAACTGTAGATATTAGACATGGAATGCAAGCGTTGAGAAACCATCCTAGCCAATATACCCAAGATTTTAAACCATTTATTGTCATAAGTTGCTAAAACATATTATATTAAAAATTATGAGAAATTTTAATTAATTTGTTAAATTAAATCAAGGTCTAGTATTATTTTATACAGGAGTACGTAAAGTAGCGGATATAGGCGATAAAATCATTATAAACTGTTTATGGAAAAATTCCTGAATGTTTAGACTCATAAAAATAAACCTAATTATTTTAAATAAGTTCCTAAGTGTCAAAAACTGATTTAGTAAGTCCATGTGTGTATTTTAAGCCCTTAAAATCGCCTGGAAGGGATGGAATTCTGCCTATTTTTCTGCAAAAAGGTATAGAAGACCTGCTCTCTGTAATAATATCCCTATATATTATATATACAGGGTGTCTCAGCGAGACCGGTCATTAGACGTTTCAGGGGTTCTGGCGAAAATAAAAATTTGAGAATTCAGACTTAAGTATTATCAATTACGATCTCTTCGTCTAAAATATTTTCAGCTTTCTTGCACTTCCGGTTATACCGGAAGTCGCCACCAACTTTATTTTTTTAAATGGAACATCCTGTATATTTTTACATATTTGGATTTGTCTGTTTTCAGGGTTTATAAATAACTTTGCTTTTTGCAATTTGATTCGGCCGTTCTCGAGTTATTCGAATTTTTCTAGAAAAATCTGCTCCAGCAGACATTTGTTCAAAAAATCAGAGAACACTCGATTTTTGGGATATCAATTTAAGATTCAGAATATGCTTAAACAACATGATGGAGTATGTTTTGTTGTTGAGAACGGCTGTCTAGAACGTTTGGTCACTTTACTATGGCACGTTAACTTTTCAAAATTTGGAAATACCATAACTTCATTTTTTTAAATGGCACTCCCCATATTTTATTACTTACAATTAGTCGTGTTCGGCGTCTCATTTTACATCTTTTATATCCGATAGGAATAGGATATTCCTAACATTAATAGTTTGGGAAATAATTAGGGTTTTTTGAAAAAATGCACACATATTCATATTTAACCTAGTGTGCCATGGAAAACAAGCCTTCTCAATGAGTTCTTGTCAAAGTCTCACTTGTTTACGTCACTTGATGCATGTGAGCAAATAATTATCTGTTATGCCCCTTAATATTAGTACTGAAAAGAGTTAAAATCGATAACAATAACGAAAGTAATATTTACACAAATCAAGAAATTCTTAATTTATTTTTTATGCATAAAAAGCGCGACAAAGTTCGTAGTATGATTCCTAGATCTTCTTTGGCATCTCGAATTGAGGTGTTGGGACTGGGGTGCCATTTAAAAAAATTAAGTTATGGTGCTTCCAAATTTCGAAAAGTTTACGTGTCATAGTAAAGTGACCAAACGATCTAGACAGCCGTTCTTGGCACCAAAACATACTCCATCATGTTGTTTAAGCATGTTCTGAATCCTAAATTGATATCTCAAAAATCGAGTGTTCTATGATTTTTTTCTATGAATAACTTGAGAACGGCCGAATCAAATTGCAAAAAGTTAAGTTATTTATAAACCTTCAAAACAGATAAATCCAAATATGTAAAAATATACAGGGTGTTCCATTAAAAAAAATAAAGTAGGTGGCGACTTCCGGTATAACTGGAAGTGCTAGAAATCTGAAAATATTTTAGACGAAGAGAACGTAATTGATAACGTTATAACGTGTAATTGATAATACTTAAGTACAACTTTAGCTATCTACCTACACTATGGAAGAAAGTAAAGGTGGTCTTCATACCTAAAGATGGTAGGCGTTTAAACGCCGATCCCAAGGCATACATACCAATTAGCATAACTTCATTTCTCTTCAAAGGGATGGAAAAGGTAATTGATCAATACCTTAAGAATGGAGTGCTAGCCATTAATCCAAACAAAATCGAAATAGTCCCTTTCACTCGGAGAAAGAAGCTACAATTAAGAGCACCCTCCATTGAAACCAGAACTATTAACCTCAAAACAGAAGTTAAATACCTAAGGGTATTACTAGACAGTAAATTAAATTCCCATATAGACAAGGTGAGGAAAAAGGCATTATGACTAACCAGATCTGCGGCAGGCTCCTCGGAAGGAACTGAGATCTCAAACCATTGGGAATGGCTCATTGGACCTACGTACTAATAATCAAACCCATAGTCGCCTATGCCTCACCGGTTTGGTGGCCAAAAACAAATCATTAGACAGCACAACAACAGCTGGCACAAATCCAGCGGTTAGCATGTCTTAATATAACGGGTGCAATGAGATCTTGTCCGACGGCTGCTTTTGAAGCTCTACTTGGTCTCACACCACCCCATTTATATATACAAAAGGAGGCAGCTTTAAGTGCTTTATCACTGAAAACAGGTTCTTTACTCTAGTTGATGCAGGGCAACCTCAAAGGACATCTGGAAATCCTCAAGGACCCATGTCTAAATCACTTGATTGAAATTAAAACGGATCTTATACCGACAGAATACAATATCAAGCCGTATAAGGTCGGACGAAGGGTGGGACTCTACTAAACAGAGGAGCCCCAGCCTGGTACACCGATGCTTCAAAGACAGTTAGATCAGAAGTAGGCATGGGCATCAGTGGACCAAATAGCCACATTAAAGTGCCCCTCAGCTTGGACATAACCGTTTTTCAAGCAGAAATTGTTGCTATAAACTTTTGCATCGTTTCGAACCTACAATAGGGACAGAAGGGTGTATCCATAAACATTTTCACAGACAGTCGGGCCGCCCTAAAGGCAATTCAGGCCAACACGTGTGACTCCGCACTGATCAGAGAGTGTACCAGCAACCTGAGAGAACTCCCTAAGGGCAATGACGTAGCTTTATGGTGTGTTCTAGGTCACAGTTACATTGAGGGGAATGAGAAGGCGGACAAGCTGGCCAGAGAGGCAGCGAAAACGCCCTTCATTGGACCCCAACCCGGTTGTGGACTACAAAAAAGCCACCTAAAACAAATAATCAACAGTTGGGAGGCCTCAAAGGTATTAGCCTTACGCTGGAAAGAACTCCCATGTCACAGACAAGCGAAGAGTATGATAACTTCGTCGCAAAACAAAACCAAACAGGGGGAAAAATTCACAAGGAGAATGAACTGTGTTATTAACAATTAAAAAATTATATAAAATAAAAACCAAACAGGTTTTCTGCCTCAGCAAAGGTGATCGATTAAGGACGCTCTCGGGTTACCTGACCGGTCATGCGCCCCTAAAATACCACCGCTTCCAATTTGGACAAGCTGAAAATCAAACTTGTCGGCTTTGCAACGACGAGTCAGAAACGGCTGAACATATACTGTGTAATTGCTTCGCCTAGGCCGTCACAAAATTTTCGGTAAAGCTCTTTTGACACCTACTGACATTAAGGAAAAAGCCCTTGGGGCAATACTAAGGTTCATTAAGGACCTACATTTGCCCAAAACTTTTGGAGGGCTAAAGTTACAATAGATCTTATAGGTCGCGGTAATGAGAGGGACCGCTCCCCTCAGCCCAGCAACGATAATAATAATAAGTCCATGTGTTTACGTATTTGATGAAAAAGATGATCGAGTAAGCATTATTATTTACGTTATACAATATCTTGAGGATTACCGTTCGTCGAGATCACGCCACTAGGAAGATATATCTTTCTCAGCAGAAGTACGTACTGGAAAAGTTTCACATGGAACAGGCCAAATCCGTGTCTATCCCAATAGAATCTAACATGAAAATAACCAAAGAAATGGTTCCATCGACAGACAAACAACGACAAGAAATGAAAAATAGGTCTTACAGAACACTGATTGGAGGTTTGATTTACTTGGCGAATGCAACCCGGCCTGATATTACATTTTCGGCAAGTACGTTAAGTTTTGCTCTGATCCCGGAAAAGAACATTGGTTAATTGCTTAGCGTGTTTTAACTCGGATTGAGTAGAACACATTGATGACCGAAAATCCTATTCAGGTAATGAAATGCAAGAAACAAACGTCAGTTACACTGTTAACTATGGAAACAGAATATGTTGCTCTGTCAGAAGTTAGGCGTGAAATAGTTTACACGAAACGTTTGTTATCACATAAAGGTTTCGAAATTTTTGTGATTAAAATACAGCTTTTCATAAACGAAGTAAACATATATGTTTTCAACATGGCGATTGAATGTGCGCTTTGTTTTAAAAACATACAAAGAAATTCTGATTATATCGCTTGTCGCGGAAATTGTGGTCACAATTACCACCTAGAATGTGTACAAGTGAGTGTCGGAAAGTTCAACACCATGAAAGAAGACGGATCTATTAAAACATGGATCTGCTGTAATTGTACTAAAGATATAACCTCAAACTCGGATGAGTTGGAAGGAGAAAATCCGCTTTTTCAACAATTTAAGACATATATCGATAACATCAGTACCTATAGAATATCAAAATGAAACAAAAAAACCAACGCTATGACCATCAGGAGTACGTATCAACATAGAAGAACATGATGTATCTATAACAACTGCTCCTACTTTTACTAATTATATTAATACCATAACTACTACCAACGAATCAAACAATCCAATGATTTTCACAGTGATTCATCAGAACATTCAGAGTATTCGGAATAAAATTGATGAACTGCTTGTTTTCGTAGAATCCTTAGATACCACTGTAAATGTAATAACTTTGACTGAACATTGGTTGAAAGCTGATGAAGTAATACTAGTAGATGGTTATAAAGTGGCTTCAACATTTTCAAGGGTAAATAATCAACATGGAGGCAGCTGTATACTAGTACGTAACGATCTCAAGTATACGGAGCTGATGAATATAAAAGACAAAAGTAAAGAATTTGTTATTGAATGTAGTGCTATAAAATTAAATGTACAAAAAGTAACGATTATCTGTATATACCGATCACCAAAATCGGATATAGAAGACTTTTTTAACATTTTAGAGGACATACTATTAGAATGTTCACCGCAAACATTGAAAACTAAATTATTATTAACTGGTGATTTAAATATAAATCTAGAAAATAGAAATACTAATACTCTCAGATTGTTAGATATG